GGCAGCATCGCCGCTGCCGGAGAAGTGTCGAGGACTGCTGCTTCTGCTGCGCGGCCTGAAGAGGCCAGATGCATACAGATTGTTGTTGCGGGGCCGGCCGGGCGGAGGAGGCTTCGGCCTGGCCAGGTCGAAGTCATCCAGAGAGGAGGAGGAGTGCAGAGGTGGACGACCGACTTCCGAGCCGTTCACATTCAACTCGCGTCGTGAATGTGAACGGCTCTGCTGCAGACTCCGATTGCCAAGAATGATGGCCGTCTCGCCGGACCTTCCAGCTCTCGGCACCGCAGCCGGTCCGCTTCCGGCGGCCCGGTCTAGTCCAGCGTCCAAATCGTCCAGCCACGTGGGCTGGCCGAGACGTCGTGTGCCCCCGAGCGATTCCGTCGCCTGGGCCAGTCGACGCAGATCCCAACTGCTGCGAGCCGCACCTCGTGGCCTCGGTCTCTGGCACAGTCCGCTGGCACCGGCTTCGTGGGACAAAGAGGAGTTGGGCTTTCGTGAAGTCAGTCCCACCGGCTTCTGCCAACGCCGTTCACGGCCTCTCGTGGCACCGGCGTCCGAGACACTCGTCTCTTTCGAGCTGTCCCCGGACAGATTGGCACCATCTTCACAGCCTCCCAGTCCTCCGGTTTCACCCAGTCTCCGTGAGGCGTGATACCCACTGCCGAGTCGTCCGGAGATGGGATAGTCTTCTTCCAGCCTCGGACGGGCGTAGTAATAGTACTCCTCGGACATTGAGCGCGCCTGTCGCCAGGACTGTCCGCATTTATCCGGTTGTGTCAGCATAGCTCGCCGAGTCGCCCTGGAAACGGATGTTGAGGCTGTGGCGTTTCTGGACAACGGTCCAGGAGGCCCGATTGGGCCATACTGCGTCGAGATGGGATGCCGACGACAGGAGCACCCATGCTTCGTCGGGCCGTGATGATGGTGATGGTGGTAGTGGTGGGGATGTGCATGCGCATGTGCATGTACTGGTGTGGTTGAGTAATGGGGATGCGCTTGGGTAGCTGGTTGCCGGGAGCCAGTGGAAGAGGGCCATGGCCAGGGATTCGTCTGCCTGCCGACGTGACAGGAAGTTAGACCGATCGGCTGACCAGTGCCCAGAGGGGAGGATGGGTCACTGTGTTGGCGATGGAAGCAGCGCCTTTCCAGCAGTAGAGCCTATGATTTGGATGGAGGCGTTGGTTTATCCTGTCCTCAGTACAACTTATCACCAGAATTCAAGAGGTATTTTGCTCTAACAACCAGTTCTGCCTAGGTTTGGTCACGGCAGTACATCTAACACAAATTTGTATGTGACCTATCCATTTAGTGCGGCTGGATCGAGGCTCTATTGTATCAGCATCAGAATGAACCCAACTAAACTGAATTCTTGATTAATTCAGACAAAAAACAGATACAGATAGGCTGCAAAACTACGAGAAGAGCTGTAGTAACCCAGGTGGCATAATGGTATGCGAAATTGATGGTTGAACTTTCCCACAATGATAAGAGTAAACTTCATAGTGTTATTTAATTTCACAAACGGTATTCTCACTCTGGGTAGACTGTAGTTTCAACCCCTCCTGGATTTCAGTATCAGCCCCAAAGGCGATCGAACCCATTTAGTGCAGTATATAATCTCGACATGTTGCCACCACGACAATCTGTCATGGGTGCCAAGGGATCCCAGAACAGGCGCGAAAATTAAGATAAGCCAGGCCTCTCCCATATAGCATTTTATTAGTGTGATTTTTGATTCAGCAAACTTGCATTAACTATTACAATCGACTTCACAAGTTATATTCGAATAGATTAGGTTTCAACATACCATTAATTCTTGGGCAAGAGCTCTTATAGAAGCTCTTATATGACTCTTTTTCAACAGCTAGTGGTAATTTTGAAACCTACTCAAATGGACTTTGAGGGTAAAAGCAAGATTGCTTCATAAACGATCACACTAGAACAAAATGTGATATGGGAAAGGCCTGGTTTGCCTTAAATATTCACATGCCTTGTGACCTTCTGGCACATGATGCATCGTATCGTGGTAGTAACATGTAAAACTTATACAGGGCGCTAACTGGGTATGATTTATATTGAGAGTGCTAATGAGGCTCAGGTGAGTTTGAGGCTACATTTCAGTCTTGAGAAAAATGACTTTTTGGAGGCAAGACTAAGTAAGAAATGGTTTGACCTCGTTGTCGCAACTTGGTCATGTTGTAAGGGCGACTTAGTAGAACGCAGCTAGTCCGAAGTCGTCTGCCATAGTAGTTGTCATGATTCTCAGCATCAGACAGTGGAC